TGGGCTCAGGGCCCGCAGTTGGCTCCACTGCGGGGCAGGGCACGCGCCCGGGTTGCGGGCTCGATCCCCGCTGTGGGCCGTTCCCCGCTCTCTCCCCCTCTGCATTCCTCTCTCTCTAAAAATCTCCCTCTAAAAATTGTTTTTAAAATCTTAAAAATAGAAAAGAACCTTAGACTTCTGGACAACAGGAAACTTGAGACGCAAGAGAGAAAACAGACGGAATTAACGACTGGATTTGGGGTACGAATCCCCAAATCTTCTCTACGAAGAGCGGGCTGGGAAGGCCTAACGCGCTGAGCGCTGGCAGCCACGAGCGGGAGGCACGGGGCGCAGGTGAGAGCCCGCGGGGTCCACAGGCAGCGCCCCCTCAGGGCCGCCGCTCTAACTCCCCGACACTGGGCGCTTTCCGCGGCCGCGCCAAGCTCTTCCCAGCAGGTGTCCACGAGGGGACGGGGACAGCGGCGCCTCGCACAGCGGTTGTCCTCTGAGCAGCCACCCCGGCTGCGAACCCCACCGCCACCTTGCGGCCCCCCAGGGCAACCCCCCGGGGCTCCCAGGCAGCCTGAGACCCCCGCCCTCCAGCTAAGGGCTTAGCCCCTCCCCGTCCTGTAACACTTGGTTCATTCGGTTGTTTCAAGGCTGAAAGTTGTTCATTGACTTCTCTTATTAACTTTTTGGAATCTCAGCTGCATTTGTAAAAAAAACCCCATTTATTTATTTAATTTATTCAGCTTTTGACTGCGCTGGTCTTATTTTCTACATCGCTCATTTCTTCCACTTATTTCTTCTTCCTTTCATTTATCTTGGGCTTGTTCAGTTCTTTTTCTAGCTCCTTAAATTGGACATTTAGCTCATCAACTTTCAGCCTTCTTTTGAAATATAATTAAAAATTCATTTATTGATAGAGCTCCCTCCCAGCAATTTGATATGTTTTATGCCTACTTCTATGTAGCTTCTAATTTGCATTATGAAGTAGTCCTTGACCCATGATTTTCTTAAAGTGTGATTTTTAAATGTCCAATGGTATGGCCTTTTCTTTTGTTATATTTTCATTGTTCATACCTGATGTAATTACACTGTGGTTATAGAACATGGTCTGTATAATAATTATCTGAAATTTGTTGAAGCTTGTGCTACGAATTTTTTCTTTAACTAATAGTTTGTTGACTTTTAGAGAGACAGAGAAAGGGAGAAGAGAGAAACAGTGATGTAAAAACGCAGCATCTGTTGGCTGCCTCTCGTGTGCCCCCCACCAGGAATGGAACCAACAGCCCTTCAGTGCCCCACACAACTCTCAACCAACTGAGCCACACCAGCCAGGGCTGTGCTATGGATTACTGTGTGAACAATTTTTTTAAAAAAATTTATCTTTATTGTTGAGAGTATTACAGGTGTCCCGTTTTTCCCCCCAATGGACCCCCTCCCCAGNTTTTTTAAATTTATCTTTATTGTTGAGAGTATTACAGGTGTCCCATTTTTTCTCCCCAATTGACCCCCTCCACTCCACTCCCACCCCTTCCTCAGGCCTTCACCCCGTTATTGACTGTGTCCATGGGTTATGCATATATGCATATTACTTCTTTGATTAATCTCTTCCCACCCTCCATCCCCCTTCCCTCTGATATATGATCGTCTGTTGCATGTGTCAATGTCTCTGGATCTATTTAGTTCGTCAGATTCTTTTGTTCATTAGCTTCTTCTTAAAGAAGACCCTTCAAC